CTGCAACTAATTAAATATGCTATACCATATTTTACCATTTAATTTACTGCAGCAGTCAATCTTTTTTTCAGTGTGAATAACATATTAAAATCTATAAATAATTTTATTGCGAAAAATATTATCTCGGCGCACAATTTAAATAACTAATATTAAGAATCTTTATTTTTATCCGGTAAAAAATTTATCATGCATGAATATGTATAAACCATGTATAAATATTCAAAAATATACATAATTTTATATGAAATCTATACATGTTCTTACATCCTTTTGTAAAATTACTTTTTAGTATAATAGAAATAATAATATCAATGTGAAAACATTAAAAATAATTAAAAAGGTAATTTTTGCACTATTTGTTTTAGAAAAAATCAAGTTTGAAGAAATGTAAAAAAATTTCTTATGTATAATTATACAGGGTGATTCGAAATTCGAGGAATCGGAGTACAGGATACTTTATGCTGAAACAAACAACTTTTTCCTTTAGCAAAATCGCGCCCGATAAGTAGTTTTTGCAGGAGAACACGTTGAAGTTATAAAAAACAAATTATTTATTTCAGTTTTTCATATCTTCTATTAAATTAAAAAATTTTTTATACTTTATAAAATTTATAAAGATTTAAAAAAAAATACCTTAACTGCGTTCAGATTTTTTAGTTAATTTTCTTAGGAAATTGTAAAATGAAGCATGTTAATAAAAAATGAAACACAAAACCAATTAAATATCTCTTCGATTTTAATTGGAGAATACATTAAATGACGGATATATAAAAAAATATTCAAATAGGAGACACTTACTATTTATAAGTTTTTTGGGGTATTAAAAAGAATGAAATTCTCTTTCAGTATTTTTTCTTGAATTTAATGAATATCAATTTTCTTGAATAAAACCACACATTCAACGTTTATTTAATTTTATAAAATATAAAATTTGTTTTTTATTTAAAAAATTGGGGAAATACTCTTAAAACCACACATTCAACGTTCATTTAAATTTTATATTTTATAAAATTAAATAAACATTGAATGTGTGGTTTTATTTAAGAAAATTGATATTCATTAAATTCAAGAAAAAATACTGAAAGAGAATCTCATTCTTTTTAATACCCCAAAAAACTTATAAATAGTAAGTGTCTCCTATTTGAATATTTTTTTATATATCCGTCATTTAATGTATTCTCCAATTAAAATCGAAGAGATATTTAATTGGTTTTGTGTTTCATTTTTTATTAACATGCTTCATTTTACAATTTCCTAAGAAAATTAACTAAAAAATCTGAACGCAGTTAAGGTATTTTTTTTTAAATCTTTATAAATTTTATAAAGTATAAAAAATTTTTTAATTTAATAGAAGATATGAAAAACTGAAATAAATAATTTATGCTTCTATAATATATTTATATATTATAAGCATTTTTTTTATTAGAGATTTATCGACTTGAATTATAGTAGGATTGACGTTATAGGCTAATATTAAATTTGTCCATTTTTGTCGTATGACAAATTTTTAAGGTCTATTGATTGATTATAGAGAGGATAGAGAGATCCGAGAACTACTCTGTCCTACAGTTAATTAACACGCTTGAAAAATTAATCGCACGACAATAATATAATAAGCATCACTCCTAAGCCGAGGCCTAAACACAAGGATGGTCGTAACTGAATCACGAAACGTGAATCGTAGTCATAGATTAACGTACAATGTTTTGTCATCTACAACTACTTACGTTCCACGACTCAAATTAAGGTCATCTTTGTGCTTAGGCCCTATTCCTTATTCACGATATCCATGATAGCTCTTTTTTTCTAACCTGAAAGCCGGATTTGCAACGTGTTCCTAATTATATTAAAATATTGACATAGGCGGATCTAATGGAATCGTTCACGCAGCGTCACGTGTACCAATATATATGTACACTATATATATTTCTTTATTTTAATCCCTAAACAACTATATTCACGAACGCATTTAAAATCGTACGTCGTATATACGAAACCTTCTGTCAGGTTGGCGGTGTCTGGCCATAGTATCGAGTAAACCACGTTGACTATCCAGAAGAACATCGAAATCGGGATAGCACAGGCACTTAAGAGTACTGGCATGAGTACATGAGAGTGCCGGCTCTCCTTGTGACTTTCGAGAGAGACCATGTCAGAGCACATGTCAGACGCATTCGGATCGCGACATTCGTAAGAATCGGTGCGGTCGACTAGAAAGCCGCGTCCATCGCCGAGAGCCGAAAGTCTCGAAGTACGTGACACATCTATCCTCTTACTCCTCGACAGCCGAGTCAGCTGTTCAATGTTGACCCTGCACGTTCGCAGCACGTGGCCACGTGATACGAATAAAGCAAGATGGGGAGAACGATATTTCTTTCGTCCATCAAAATGAATAAGGCTGACTTTTCGAAATTCACGAACAGCGCTATCTGCCACGAATGAGCTCCGTCTTTAAGCTGTACACTCAAGGACTTCGATTCTTTTCCTCGGTTACTTTTTTAAAACTTCCAAAAAATTCAGGTTATTTCGCCTTTACGTTAAATTTAGTTGTAAGCGGACGTAAGGTTTAGTCGCGTCGTTAATCGTGCACGGACTATTGCTGGATTCACCCTGCATCCGATTTTCGTCG